GGGGGGGGGGGGGGGTAGCGCGGAGATAACCTCCATAAAAGCTTCAATCTCCCAACGTCTGTCAAGGACGACTCCCTCTTCTCACATCCCAGGGTTACCATATCCCATGTCCCAAACAACAGCTATCGACGAGTCGCACCGCGATTCAGGTCTCACCAACCACTTGGTGGGAGGATAAAGCCTGCCGCCATCGAAAAAGTCATGATAGGTCATATCCGCAGCCGGGACGGCCGGGATAAAAACGTACCCCTCTCCCCCTTCCCATGGCTGACCCTGTGGAGTCACTACGAGGACGGTTACAAAGCAAAAGGGAACCTGGGGACTCACTTGGTGTTGACCTCTTGGACCTTCGCCTGCGCGGTGAAGGCGACCGCAGCGAATTTACCGCTCACGTTGTGCTTCTCGTCTATTTGCTCCACCTGGGTTTGCACCTGAACAGCAAACACCGGCGACGAACGACAAACAGCAGGAAGTAGACTAGGGATTAACCTTGTTTGTGGTCGTTGAAGAGAACCATGTACTCTGGAAAATTGCCATTCGTTGTCACGTGCTGGAAGATGCATTCTTCGGATTTCTGTACTTTTTGACTTTCACCACGGTAGGTGGCCCCATATAGTGGCAACTTGAGTAGCGGAACTACCGATGTAGCGGCATCAAAATCTCTTGCCACAATCTCAACATGTACATGAACCCGATATATCTAATAGTGGCACTGCCTTGAACAGTGGCATATTCGCCTCTTGCCCCTACATGCCACTATATTGGGCCACCTTCTGTAGCCAACAAGTGTGCGTCCATCACACAAGAATGTACCCGATAAAACCTCGTTGTAAAACAAAAAAACGACGAATGAAGCCGAAGGGTGCCAATCTCGCCGCTTCTGCGCTGTCACGAAAGAGATTCCAGCAGTCGAACATCCAAGCCAGCCGGCAACCAGCCCTCACCTTCGCTGCGATACTTTTGGCGGTTGAGGAGACGCCGAGTTTCTCGTCGAACAAGCGGGTGTAAACCATGCCCTTGGCGAAGATGCTCTTGATCCATTCTGCCGTGGTCAGCGTTCGGCCTTCCATACCACCTATTATGCAGTAAAGACCAAATCAAATACCACGTAAGAAAACAAAAATAACGGATGGGTAACGAACAGTGGAGAAATAGCGGTGTCAAAGTGGTTGCGCTGTTAAACTCCAAAACTCACACGAGACTCAGCTGTCCATCATGTGGCAACAAGTCTGACGAACGGGTACACGCCTTCTCTCAAAAACACAAAAACGAAAAACCGGACACCAAGCACAAGAAGGGGGCTCAGTCTGTGGGGTAGTAAACTAGTGAACCCGAATGGATGTACTTCGAGAAAAGGACGCACGGCGACCAACAGGGGCTCATGTTGCCGGCGCGCTACCATGTTCGCCCCCGTGCCTTCTACGTAATCTTTCGATCGACGATTCATAGCTCGAGAGTACCACGAGAAAAACAAAACTCTCTCGCGCGTGTTTGGACACACCCCCTGCGTTGAAAAAAACACATCGTGGGGTGCTTTGCATGCGAGGCGTTGAATGCGACTACGGAGAGCAGAGTAAGAAGGTTAGCTAGACCTCACCCACAGCGGCAGGCTGATCGCTAAGGTTGTCGCGGTCCAACCCGTCGTTCAAGGCCGGCATGGACGAAGCCAAGCTTATGCTGCAGTTCGCTCCGAGGATGTCGCGGCCGTTCGCCTGATCGGCACCGGTGCAGCAGAGAAATGCCGCAGTATTCGGCAGTAACATCAGCGGCAGGGTGTGGGAGAAATCAAGAGAGGCCGGGGAAAAATATGACAGCGCGAGAACCACACGCCACGGCGATTCGATCGGCCGACATCGTGTCATCCAAAGCAACAAGAACAAAAAAAACAGCAGTGGAGGACTGCTGTCCAACGAAAAATACGCGCGGCGTGCGGTGACTATGAAGCTCGGTGAACATCAACATCACGACTCATCTCCCACGAACGGTCGACGGGTTGACTGCACTGTTTGTTCCCTTGGGAACGCTGAGCCCTTGCGTACGCGAGAACGACACAATGGTTGGCATCGGCGCACGAAAGACCTACGCGTGGCGCTCGTATAATGATAGCCTTGACACTCGTCCAATTATGTGAACGTACAGACAGGCAATCTCCGTCCCACGAAACCGCCGTCTCGCACCCCCATCATCAC